TTCGCCATTTTGTCATGGTCACGTGACCTACCTGTGTCAGTTGCGTCGCCTCACTTCCATTCATGATTTCTCTCACAGGGCATCATGGGATAGCGTAGCGTGCATGGGATTGGGTGCATGCGCACTTCAGAATCTCGCCGGAAGTGGTAAGTCATCCGGGTACTCCTTGCCTACTGATTTTCGAATTCTATGAATTCGGACATACTACTCGGCTCGCATACTGATTTTAGCGTACTGTATAGTATGGAAGTATGCGGTTTCGGACGCAGCCCAGAGTGATGAAAATTATGATATGGGGAGGGTTAGGAGGCCATGATGGACAGAGGCCAGAGGGCAAATTTGGCCAATTTGGGATTTTTAACGACCACAGAGTTTCAAGACCTCAGTTTAACGTCTCATGCGAAAGACAGCACTCACTGAGCAGTATCCGCTTGTTAAGTGTGATATTACACAAAGTGGCTTTCAAGTCCAAGCACTCTGTAAAACTGTATGGGGAAACTCATCAAATGGTAATAATAAATATTTACAAAGCAAAGCAATGTAATTATTTCGAAAATCATGATCTTAAAAAAAAAAAAAATATATATATATATATATATATATATATATATATATATATATATATATATATATATATATTAGTGCTGTCAATTGATTAAAAAAAATCGCGATTAATCACATTCAAAGACTGAAACTTGTAATTTTTGCTATTCAAATGTAAAATTAATGTAAACGCAAGACAAAAAAACTATTTAAATTCAAAATATTCATATTCAACTGTTCATTAGAATTATTGAATTATTGTTTAACTTGTAACACAGATTTCTTCATGTAAAGAAAAGCCATCAATTAATTCAATTGTTTTATAACCACACTTCATTAAAAAAGTCTGTAGAAACATTCTCCCTTCGTACATGTCATCTATGGGGGAAAACCCTACCCACCAATGACGATCGCTTTAAATTTAAAGCAACAGTCACCAAAATGGCATAATTAGGATTAAAGCCTAAAAGGGGCAGTTTCAAAGACTTATAAAACATTACTTATGGGGTATTATGAGCTGAAACGTCACAAACACTATGGGGACATCAGAGACTTATTTTATATTTTGTAAAAATGGGCATAATAGGTCCCCTTTAATATTTGCCTCTACTCTAACAATTTGTACAACCCCTAGTTTTAAAATATATTTTAATAAAGAATAATTCATATATATTTAATACATTAATACATGCATTATTAATAAATGACTAATATAATACATGCTAAATGACTACTATAATGATTTTTCCACCAATATGGAGTACCAATATTGGTCCCACCGATTGGAATTTAAAAGAAGAGACAGTTTACTAGTCATTAAAAATCATTTATATAAATTAAATCAACAATACAATGCTAAAAAAAACTTTTTTTTTAGGTTTAATTATTTACACACTATTTTCGACCAAGCCCCCTGCAGCGCAAGACCACGCATCTTCCACTGCATAAAACACATGACAGCCTGCGAGTTTCTTAAGTGACTTTCGTCTGACCCAAACCATGTGACACTGGAAAGGCAAAACAGATTCACTGAACTGAAGTAAGACTCAAAACTATCCAATCAGACCATTTCTATTGTGAAGTGACCTGACAAAAAGTGAACACACCTAAGGACAACACAAAGCAACAGAAAAGACTTCTCATTTCTATTTACATCTCACTATAAATTGCTTCCTGTTAACACACTTATATATGTCTATATAAGACACTTATATATGTGTATAAATGTCTGCTTTTAAACACTTGTGCTAACCGCGTCCCCAGTTCACACCAGATCGGATTTCTCAAAGTTCATTTACCTTCACTTTCAGCCCTGCACACCTCCACCATGTGCTCCATTTGTAAGTGTACGTGCGTCTGGTCACTTATCAACAGTACGATTAATCCTTAACCTGTCTGACCTTCAACCTCCACACTAGATCCATTTAAAAAGGGCATTCAAGTCAAATAGCATATTTACAGCATTCTCTTTATCAAACATAATTATATATATATAAAAATAGAGAAAAACTCACCCGTCTGAAATCTCCTCTCAGGACTCTTCTGTCTGCCTGTGAATATGAAAAGAGAAAAGAAAGGCAGCGAAAGGCATTGTCTGGGCCGAGACTGAGCTCACATGTACTTTGGTCGTTGTGCTGCACTTGTTGTGTGGTAAGCATGAGTAAAGAAACAGTAGCGGGGAAACACACCTCCCTGTTACTAAGAAGAAAAAAAAACTGAGTCACACAGAAGACATAGTAGTAGTAATGATAGCTGCTTCTTTTTTCTGTGAGTGTTGGAAAAGCAAGACCTAATATTAAAGTATTGTGCCATAAAATATAGCCATCATATAATTATTTGATTTCAAAGTAACTGATGAAAGTATGCGAGCTCCTGTGTTTTTTTATTTCCATGCACAGACTGTAGATGGGTCATAATAGTTAAATATTAGCAGCGTGTGAATTCCTACATTGCATCTAGGGTTATGAGATTATGCTTGTCAATGACAATTTGGAAAACAGCTCTATACACAGTTGAAGTCAGAATCATTCGCCCCACTGTTTTTTTCCCCAATTTCTGTTTAACGTAGAGAAGTTTTTTTTTTTTAACACATTCCTAAACATAATAGTTCAAATAACTCATCTTTAATAACTGATTTATTTTATCTTTTTCATGATGACAGTAAATAATATTTGACTGGATATTTTTCAAGACACTTCTACACAGCTTAAAGTTACATTTAAAGGCTGAACTAGGTTAATTAGGTTAACTAGGCATGTTAGGGTAATTATGCGAGTTATTGTATAATGATGGTTTGTTCTGTAGACTATCGAAACCAATATATAGCCTAAAAGGGCTAATAATTTTGTCCTTAAAATGGTGTTTAAAAAATTTAAAACTGCTTTTATTGTAGCCGAAATAAAACAAATAAGACTTTCTCCAGAAGAAAAAATATTATCAGACATACTGTGAAACTTTCCATGCTCTGTTAAACATAATTTGGGAAATATTTAAAAAAGAAAAAAATTCAAAGGGGAGGGCTAATAATTCTGACTTTAACTGTATTTCACTTAAAAACTAAAAATTCTGTCGTAATTTAGTCATCTTCCAGTTGTCCCAAATAGTTTCATTCTTCAGTTGAACACATAAGATGATGTTTAGTAAAATGTTAAAAACGTAACCATTGACTGCAAGGTGAACTACACCTTTAAATGTGATTTAATTAAGAAAATAAGGAACGTTTAGCTATTGGTTTTGAACGTGTTTTTTTTTTTTTTTCATTCAATATGTGTTCATAAGGAACCTTTTATTTTAATGAAAATGTATTTAAAAATAACACAACATTTTCACAGAGGAAAAAATACTATTTCAGGACATGAAGGACATGTGTATCTGCTGCCCCCTATTGGACAATCATAGAGAAAAAAAAATCATTTACAAGAATATTTTGACCCACAAAAAACAAATTACTTCTGCAAAATATATGCATTTTTTGTAAAAAAAAAATCAGTTTTTCTAATTACCCTACTGGTCAAAAGTTAGGGGTCAAGGTTTTTTTTGTCTTGTATTTTTTTTATTTTATTTTTTTTTTTAAGAAAAATATTTTTTTTTCAAGGCGACATGTATTAAATGTAAAGAAATTGTTAAATTATTAAATATTTGTTAAAATTTCAAATAACTGCTTTCTTATTGTATGTAGTTTCGAATTAAATGATTACTCCAGGCATTTTTGCTTTTATTATTTGTTATTATTTTAACAATATTAATAATAATATTAATAACAATAGTAACAATAATAATAATAATAATAATAATAATAATAATAGAGTGATTTCTGAAGGATCGTGTAACTCTGAAGACTGGAGTAATGAAGCTGAAAATTCATCTTTAAAATCCCTGAAATAAATTATTAAATAATAAACTACTTTTGAATGGTTATTTTATAATGCAATAACATTTCACAATTTTACAATTTGTACTTAAAACATTTAAAAATCCTTCTGACCTCAAACATTTGACCAGTAGTGTGTTTTTTTTTGATAGAACAAAGTCAAAAAGGTTTGAGGGAGATTACATTTTTTCGGTTTTGTGAAAACCATCTTATGAAATGGTTTAACATATATAATTTATGAAGGCATATTTTAAAATACTATTATCTATTGCAAAAAAAAAAGATTTTCCTAAAAATTTACCAAGATTTACAGAAGACTAAAATGTGATTTTTTTTGGTAACACATTTATTTATTTATTTATTTTGTAATAATTTAACTGTTTAAATTAAAACATCTAAAAACATTTTGCTGGGCACATTTATAGTAAAGAATTAGGGCTGAACGATACTAAAAAAATCTGCGATATTTCGTTTTTCTGCAATATATATTGCGAAGTGAATACAACTTTAACATATGACTTGAATAGCTCTATTTGGTAATAATTAATTTATCATTAATCATAAATTTGGATCGATTGCTGTGATTTTGTAGGGGTGAAAACCATGTATAAAAAATAAACAAATTGCAAGCAAAATAATTCCAATAGAGCAATGAAAAAAGTCAAATAAACAGTGCTTTGTGGTTTTCTGGAGAGTGAAAGAGTATTCAGGCACAAAAACTGTATAGGCCTCATTGTATTAATTCAGTAAAAATATTCTTGATTAAAGTTAGAAATGTACTTTTTTGTGCCTGAATGCACAAGTCAGAATTATTCGCCCCCTTTGATTTATTTATTTATTTATTTTTAAATATTTCCCAAATTATGTTTAACAGGGCAAGGACATTTTCACAGTATGTTTGATAATATTATTTCTTCATATTAAAGATTATTTCCTCATATTGAAGATTCGTTCAAAATGACCGAATCGTTCATGAACAAGCCATCACTACCATTAAAACAGACCGGTCAATTTTGTACGGGAACACTAAAGCAAGGGGCAAGATGTGAACACGACAGGAGGGTTAATAAAGTTAAATGCCACAGTCTCATTTTTGTACTGTATTCAATATTTATTAATTAAAACATTTTTAAAAACAAAACTATATTAATAACTAAATCCTGAGATCAATTGCATTCTAATACGCATAAAAAGTCCTAAAAGTAAAAAAGAATCCTAAAAAACATAAAACAAAATTAAAATCAGTTTATGTACAGTCCATAGTGCTTATGCTCCACAACTCAGATGTAAATGTCAGAATTAAGAGGTCTCGTCTGAGGACCTCTGGGTTCTTCTCTTTGTTCAGCTTCGAAGTGATCACGCTCCTTAAGAAAACGATCGACATCCCGGATTGTTTTGGCAGTAAAAACAGCACCAACGGCATACAGAATTGCGGTTATGATTCCAAACAGTGCTACAGATGCGTCCCCCCCATTCACACTACAATTCATCCAGGTATATCCGTTACGAGCGTACAGTCGTTCGCGCATAATGCACACGTCGGTTGAGTTCACAGAGATCACAAGGTGCAGGTACAAACCCACCGCAATCACGTAAGCCACTGCACCAATGATCTGGAATGCAAACTGTCCAATCAGGAGCTTCCGTGGAAGCACGTGAGCGGGTTTGCCACTGGAAACTACGAATAGGAGCGAAAGAGCACCGAAAGTGAGGCTGAAGGCCACGCCTCCATAGACTCCAGGTGCTCTCATTTGTCCGTACTGCATGTCAAGATTACGCACCGTCTGCAGCTCCGTCCCCTCGAAAGGAATGATAGCATCAATGAAGCTTGTTCCACCCATTCCCATCGCAGACATGCCCAGCTGTGACATGTGGGCAGCCACTATGCAGATGAGCACCAAGGCATTGGTCAGGATGGTGCAAATCAACACAATACCTAAAACACACACAGAAATGCATATGAAACTTTAAGCATGTTTTAAACATATATCAATAAAACTTGGTGGATTTTTTAGGATAAATTCTTGTGCAATTGCTCTGTTAGTGAAGTTCATCAACCACAAGACATCTAAACCAACCAAAAACAGAGCATATTGTCAAAAGATGCCTCAAAGTGAGCTGAATTCTCAAATGTATCTGGTTTTGTAGCCAGTTGCAACGCTTCATTGTTTTAGATCAGGGGTGGAAACCCTGTTCCTGGAGTGCCACCTTCCTGCAGATTACAGTTGCAACCCATATCAAACACACCTGCCTGTAATTATCACGTGGTGTTCAGGTCGTAATTAATTGGTTCAGGTGTGTTTGATATGGGTAGCAACTGAAATCTTCAGGAGTGCCGAAGCAAAGGCGCAGTAGGTAGTGCTGTCACCTCACAGCAAGAAGGCTCAGGTGGCGTTTCTGTGTGGAGTTTGCATGTTCTCCCTGTGTTCACGTGGGTTTCATCCAGGTGCTCCGGTTTCCCCCACGGTCCAAAGACATGCAGTACAGGTGAATTGGGTAGGCTAAATTGTCCGTAGTGTATGAGTGTGTGAATGTGTGTGTGTGTGTCTGAGAATGTTTCCCTGAGATGGGTTGCGGCTGGAAAGGCATCCGCTGGATAAAAACTTGCTGGATGAGTTGGCGGTTCATTCCGCTGTGGCGACCCTGGATTAATGAAGGGAATGAGCTGACAAGAAAATGAATGAATGGAATCTGCAGGAAGGTGGCTTTCCAGGAACAGGGTTGACCACCCCTGTTTTAGATCTTCAGCAAGTTATGCTGCAAAACATACTTTATGAGTTTTTTTTTTTCTAATAAAATTATTTTGCAATAATCAATTGCAGAAGAGCCAAATGAATGTATCTTTTTAGGCCCTAACTAGGCCCACAAGAAAACTGCGCGTGCAAAATTCCGCAGATTTTTAGCCCATCATTAATTTTGTTTATTTACTTGAGTAAATGTGTGTAAATCTTCATTTATTCAGTTTTTAAATTAATTTCTGTAATATTACTGATTAATGTTTATCTGATTTCTTTACAATGCAGTTTGTAAAGTATTATTTTCTGTCTTTTAGTAGATATATAATAGGAGACTTGCTTTGTTTACCAAATAAAGTGAATCTAATTGAATTTGTATTTTAAACATTAAGGGCCCTATCATACACCCGGCGCAATGTGGCGCAAGGCGCGGCGCAATAGTCTTTTGATAGTTTCAGCTTGCCGCAAGAGTGGTTTTGAGACATTGCGCTACGCTGTTTAAAAGGCAAATGCATTAGCGCTCATATGTGCGCCCATAGGCGTTCTGGTCTAAAAAGGAAGGCGTTCTGAGGCGGACCGCTGGCGCGTTGCCATTTTGAGAAACTATAATAGATTTTTCATTAGACCAAAACAAACCCGGTCTAAACTCCGGCGCAGAGTTGCGCCTCTCTTACACACTGCTTAATACACACAAGAGAGCAATAGGCAAATATCTTTACATATGAAAAAAATTAAATATTAAGGATATATATATAGGATATAATAAGAATAGATATAGAATATAACTATAAAGGATTAAAATATTACAAAACATATTTTCTAGCCTACATAAATATGAAAAATCACTGCTTTTATGTCTTCTTCATCTCAGGAGGATTTTTCAGTTCATTTATAACAATTTGCTTTTGTATAATGTTATTATTATTAGCAGTATTATTTATTATATCCATATTTATATTTGTTTTATTGAAAACAAGCTTAGATTTGTCCACCTGTCAGGTTTTAGACCATATGGGGCACAGCATGTGTTTTAGGATATAACTTAGGTTTTTGAGCACACTTCGTTATTATTGTTCATTTATTCGTTTGCTGAAAAATTAGAACTGAATTTAGAAATAGTTTTGAAACGAAAATTTGCACTTAACAAACCCAATTAATTATTTATAGACTAATTGATGTATGTGCATAAAGGTTTCCCTATCCAAGAGCGAAAGTGAAAGTAGATCTATTATCTCTAATTCTCAGCAGTAGATGCTCTGTTTAACAGTTTTCTGTTAAAAAAAAAACTGTTAACTGTTTGCTAGTGAAATGCTCTTTTTTTCCACTTAGACTTACTTTGCGTCCTGTAAATAGCGAATGTGCTTATGGCGCGACGCAGCTGGCTCTTAAAGGGAATGGGAGATGAGACTCTAATTGCTTTATTCTCAAAACACACCTATAACTTATTAAGAAAATTAACTCAACCCTTTTAGACCATGCGCCACGGCGCAAAGCAGATTTTCCTGTCCTTAAATTAGCTAAAATGCGTTCAGCATTTGCGCCCTGCGTTTTGCGCTCTGCGCATGGACCGTCAAAATAGAGTCCTAAAAGTTGATGAAGCTTGCCCTGAACGCTTGAGGTTTTTAAGAAACTTCTTTGGTGCACCAATCTTGTCAATGCTATGATTCAAAAAGGTAATGATTCGTACTCATCAAGTAATTGCTTCATACAGTTTTTATTTTTTCTTCTTACATTCTTCGGTTGATTTAAAGACACAAATGTTTCAGCATAATGCCTTTCTCAGTGTGAACATTAAACAGCGTAAACAGTAAACATTAAAATTTAAAAAGATATATTTACCAGAAAATATATTCAAAAATGCTAATTTTTAATTGTAAAAAAATCTGAAACAATCAAAGACAGCAGAAGTCAATGATTCATGTTTACTGTTCCAAAATATTATAAATGTTTCTTAAAATAAAATATGCTGTGTTCAAGGGTTAAAAAACTTTGTTGTTTTACCCAGACAATTCAAAAGAATATATTTTAGAGCCATGAGAATCTTATACCGGCCCATGCCTAGAAACCATATAAATAAATGCGTTTATTTATTTCAGATTCTGTGATTAAAGGCAATGATCTACCTGCAGCTCAGGTGCTGATACTGAAACTCATTCTTTTCTTACAGACAAGATATACTGACGATAAGACAAACACCAGCAAAAAAAAAAAGTGATCGCTCAAAAAAAAAATTCTGGGTCATTTTAACTCCCCAAAAAGTTACAGACTACAGATTTTAAAATGGTAAAAAAAATGTTTGGTTTCTCTACCAGAAATAAAAATATACTGACTTGTAAATGAAATATTTGTATCAACAAGCTTTAAAAACGCTAAACTGGTTAGACCAGAAGAGAGGAGGAAGGGGGTGAATACATTGTGTCAGGTGGGAAGGTGTGGCTTTTGGTTGAGTGAAACCAGAGCAGTGTTATGGCATGCTTAAAATAAAAACAATTGCAGATATGAAAATAAATTTTTTTTAGAATTGTAGAACTGAGGTTCAAGTTAAATACTTCAAACATGTTTCAAACACTCTGATGCAGTTGTTTGAATACATAATTGAAACATGCATACTTCTACATTTGTCTTTTAGTCCAACATATCATTGTTATGTCCATCAGTGAACGCTTACCTCTCCTAGAACAGATGTAAGTGCACTTGGACTCCATGTGCTCCCTTTGAGAAGTGCTCCTCGCAGGTCTCTGAGACCCTCTGGTTTGGTATGAGGACTGGCCAGATGATCTGGTTCTGATATATTTATAAATACACGATTTAATTGATTAGTAATGCAAAAACAGGCACAACATATGCAAAACATATTTAATTTCCTCATCTTTCCTGTTTGTTTATTTTTTCCTCCACAGTTAAATTTGTAAATTTGCTGTTAGTTTGTGCAAGTATGTCGTCTCACCTTTCATTGCCTGGTCGTCGGTCACTAGGACGGTCCTGTTGACTGCGGGGGTCTCTGTCTCTCTTTTCACCATTTTGTCTTCTCTCTTCACCATTTCTCTCTCTGTGTGTACGCTGGTTTCTGGGTGGCTGGCTCATTGCTTCATGAAAGAAAGATACTTTAGTGTATGTTTGCAGAGGTTTACAAATTTTATAAAAAAAAAAAAAAAAAAAAAGACTTAAGACAACTCCATCGTAAAAATTTAATTTATTAATAACAATACAAACAAACACAGACAGACAGACAGACAGATATATTAGACAGACAGACAGACAGACAGATAGATAGATAGATAGATAGATAGATAGATAGATAGATAGATAGATAGATAGATAGATAGATAGATAGATAGATAGATAACATGTTAGATAGATAGATAGATAGATAGATAGATAGATAGATAGATAGATAGATAGATAGATAGATAGATAGATAGATAGATAGATAGATAGATAGATAGTTTGTTTGTTTGTATAGCCTATAAATTTGATTGTGTACAAACCATTGGATATACTTATATACACAGTAAAATATCCACATTATTATTGATTGCAATAAGTTAACGTAACTGTCTTAAAATACGAAAACAATTTCCAAACCGCAACCGTTAATTGTTTTAGTTTACGTACTGTAACCTGTGGTTGAGTATCGGTGAATGAGTTTCACTCACTCTTGTATCTCGTTTCAGCTGACTTCAGTAAAAACAACAATAAACTCGTTTTATTTGGAGTAAATGACCAAATAATGTTTCTAAACGACAACAACGTCAAAAACAGACAACTTACTTGTTTATAAAGGTCGCTGCTCACATTTGTTTTGGTTTTCCTAATCAAAACTCCACTTTTTTTCCGCCGACATGAGATTTTGACCAACCCTGTCAGTGAAATCTCGCGATGATTACCTGGGGTTTGAAGACAGGTGAAAAATACAAGTATCAGACGCGGCAGTCCCTAAACGAACTGTCAAACTTTGTTATCTGTGTGATCGCCTATTCACAGTTTGAACGACCCAATACGCGATAACAGAAGCAAAGGTCAGGACAGACTGAGAGCACGGACTGTCTCCTCAACAAAAGTGGCTCTGTCTTCGATCAAAACATACGCAAGTGCGAGGGAAGAGCATTGTTTTTGATTCACTCAAACGAATCGATTCTTTTGAACCAGCTCACTAAAGGATTCAATCACTGATTTGTTGACGAGAGAATCAACAGAACCAGACCGTTTTATATTGAATACAAAATATGTTGAGAACAAAAGTAGCATAAACAGTCAATATACAGTACAATGAATACTGGAATAGGATAGTATTTAGCACAACAAATATTTTATTTAATTCTAAATGTAAACAAATCTTTTGAAATAAATAATACATCAAGGTAACAAATAAAACTATTAATTATATGATAAAATATAATCCTTTTTAATTGTTTGTAAAGAAAAACAAGCATTATAATGTAATACAATTAGTTATAATTAAATATAAAGATCAGGTCATATCATCATTTGGTCAACCCATGGATTATTTTTGTAAGGTGAAACTGAAATAATAATAATAATAATAATAATAATAATAATAATAATAATTCAGTAAGTAATGTAAGCTAATTCATATGTTTGTTTCTAAAAAGTTGTCATCAAATTTTATTTTCAAAGTCAAGATAAATATAAATCAAGACAGTCCCCATACCAATGTCAACAAAACCAAACTTTTCCAAACTTTCCAAAGTTCCAAACTTTTTTCCACTCAATCTGCTCAAATAAGGAAATATAAAATGGTTTACATTTTGGCAACAATGTGGTTCTGCATAACATTTTTGATGTAAAAGTGATTAAATTTATTGTCTATAATTTTCAAACCATTGGTAGGGGAGTGCGAGGCACAAAGTAACGCGAGGTTAAATGTAACACAGAGATTTAAGGTATACTTGCTCAGGGTTAACCATGGCATGCCTGCGAGGTTTTCACCACAGTGTCGGCAGATGTCTTCTTGCCAATTATTGAAAAAGTTCGGCGAAATTTGGATGAGAAACACAGGAGAAACCATTTTTGCAACCTAAAATAATTTTTTATTATAGTCAATATTTTTTAAATATATTGTTGTGTCGACCATCTTCTAGGCTAAAATATGAAACCATTTTGAAAGATGTAAAACACAAAGTGACTGCTAGCCAGTTTTGAAGAAAACACGACACAGCAAGGTTAGTTAGTTAGTGTTACAATTAAGCCACACACTGTTGGACACCAATTAAACTAACACAATATATATATATAATTTGGAGTGTAATGTTGAGAACTATTTAAATGAAATGAAATTATTTTTTTTTTGATAGACAAAAAATATTTTACTGCTAATAATACAAATAAATGCATTGTATAATCCAAATGTGTTTATCCAATAAATAAATAAATATACTGTGCTATTCATTCATTTTCTTGTCTGCTTAGTTCCTTTATTAATCCAGGGTCGCCACAGCGGAGTGAACCGCCAAATTATCCAGCAAGTTTTTACGCAGTGGATGCCCTTCCAGCCGCAACCCATCTCTGGAAAACATACTGTGCTGTGTAGAATAAAAAATAAATTGAGCTAGGTACTGAGAAAATATAGCTACTATTTAAAGTAAACTTTAAAATTTTAAATAAACTGTGTGTAATCTGCCTTTTTTTAAGCATGTGTTACAACTAACCCTGTCTGTTACAACTTGAAGTGAGGTAAATAGTAACATTTTTAATCCTGGCACTTTTGGCAACACTGCAAAGAAACAATAGTCCGGCGATCATACAACCAGAGCTCATTTGTAGGAGAGGCTTGTGTTTTGTTAGTAAAAAAACAAATGGTTTGTTTAACCCCAAGCCTTTGTTTATTATTTGACCAAAGCCAAAAAGAGTTACTTTGTGCCCCGCTCCCTTACTTAACTGATTAGTATGTAAAATATTGGATTCAGACAGAGGATATATTACCAGATAAGAGCTGAACAAGCAGTTTTTCTCCAGCTTGAGGAACTACATATAGAAAGGGGCGTAATCGTTCCGCAGGTCCAACCAATGAAACACGCCTTCACAGCGCGCGCTCAAATCCTATTTGCTGAATGGTAAAGTCAGTCACCGAAGAGGAACGCCTTCAGACACTTCAGGAGTTTGTTTGCAGAGAACCGAACAAAGGAAGATTCGCTTAAAACGTGAGTGAATCTTTTACGAAACCATATGAGCCGTAACCTGAGGCTTCGTCCTGGAATGTCGTAACAAACGAAAATGAAGTAATTTATGTGCGGATTATGCAACTACAGTATGTGTGAGTGTCAACATTATCAAGCAGCTCTGAGTAAAATAACTGAACAGCACTGTAAGAGCTTCAATTACAGTATAAAAGAATGGAATGATACAAAGGGGGTCTTGACATTTAAAGAGCGCATTCATTGTCCTTTTGACTCGAGCATTTTAAGAAGCTTTCAGGAGAAACTTTTTGCTAATAGAGTCCAGCTACCATTACACAAATAAAACATGGTTACTTGTAAAAAAAACAAAAACAAACAAACAAGATAATTACGAATTATTCATGATTTTGCTACACTAACCACAGTTTAACCATTGCATTTACAGAAAAACCGTATATATATATATATATATTTATATATATATTTATATATTTATATATATATATATATATATATATATATATATATATATATATATATATATATATATATATATATTATAAATACACATGGTTATCTGTTATATTTTTTACCATAATGAAAGCATGGTTCGAAATAGGGGTAGCTCTATTCAAATCAGTTGGATAATCACATGCTCAAGTTAATGAGCCTAATTAACATAATTGATTGTCAGGCCTGTTGCACCAGCTTGGTTTGGTTGCTTCATGTTTGTGCATTTGATTTTTGTTGAACTGTGAATGTGATTTTAAAATATTGTAATGCACATGCTGATGCGCGTGTAGGAGAAATGGATACTGGGTTAGAGGACCTCGAGCTGAGAGAGTCACAGAGGGAATATCTGGACTTTCTGGATGATGATGTGAATAATTTGAATAATCTTTATGTGTTTGACTTGTGGGCATTTTGAACTGTATAAACTTTGTTTTTTGTCTGTCAAACTAAATCTTTTTTTATTGTAATTTACAGCAAGATCAGGGCATCTACCATGAAAAGGTCAGGAGTATGGTGTCTGATGGACAGTGTCGTCTCATTGTCAACATTAATGATCTGAGAAGAAAAAGTGAAAAAAGAGCTAAAGAGTAAGTGATTAATTTGATTAAAAGTTGTCTATTTTGTTTCATATTTTGCTTTTTTGACAATTTTAGATTTTTTCTTTAACGTTGTTTGCTCTTCGGGATTCGGTCAGTAACAAACATGTGGCCAGATACATGTGAAACTCTGGTGTAAACAGCATGGTTGATGTACTATATGTTGCTCTGCTGTCTAAAATATACAAAAAAAAAAAAAAAAACATGGAAGCTGCTAAATCACTTACTAAAGCAGAATATGGTGTAGCATTTTGATTTAACATGTGGTAAAGGATACATTTGACCAGATTAGCCTAATGTTACACTCGCTTGAGCATAAATTATAAGAACAAACATGAACGTTATCAAGATTCTTGCCATGGAAATCGTGAATTAGTTTGGTCAACCACAAACACTTTTTTCAGACAGCTTTTTTTTCTCTCTTCTGCTTGACTTTACATGGCTTTCAGTATTCTAATACAATCTAATAGCAAAGCCCAAAACAATTGATCATTTTCAGCAGTAGTAAGCAAATAATATGATTCTCAGTCAGTTCAGTCATATTGTTTACGTTCTGTGTTTCCAATATGGCTGACTGATGATGTGTGATGAAAATTCTCTGTAGGGGAGAGTGGGGACAGTTGCAACACTTTTTGCAATTCTTTCAGTTTCTCGAAGACAATTTTTTTTTTTTTTTGTGGAACCCCAAAATTTTAAAACAATAAACTCACTTCTGTTGGACAGGCACCCATATTGCTATAATATGTGTAGATATGTTAATAAATTCTTCATTTATTACTTAAAGAAAGGGACAATTGCAACATTCATTCAAATTATAATTTAAAAAAAATCTAAAACCTCGAGTTGGATTTTATTTTTTGGTAAACCCACTAAATGAAAATTGGTTAAATTATTAAATGTGTTGGCCATATAAATACAAAACCTTAAAAAAAAAAAAAAAAAAAAAAAACGAGCAACATCCAATTATAAGGCCTAAAAAAACTGAACTTTTTTTTTTTTTTTTTTTTTTTTTACTGAAAGATTGAACCTTTACCAAACTACTACTAAGAATGTTGACATGAATTAATTAATCAAATATTTTTTTCAAATTATATTAAAACTGTGATCAATAAAATTGTACATTTGTTAATATGGCAAGCTTTCAAATGAATTTTATAACAATTGGGGACAGTTACAGAAGCATGTTCAGCAACTCTGTCAACCTTGATTAAACATTCCATGCTAGAGAGATACAATAGCTTGTTACAAACGCTTGATAGCTATACCTATTTAAAGCTATGAAAACAGTGATTTAAATTATACAAATGAATAATGTTTCACAAAAACAGATTGGGCTGTATGAGAAATTTTCTGATCATTACAAAAAACTATTTTTTTTTATTTTTTTTTTTTTTAATACCTAAAATGAGTTTTAGACTGAAGAAATGGTCACATATGGCTGATTTCTCTTGGATGGAAGAAGGATCCAACTGACAATTTGTAGTATGAATATCATCCCTCCATAGCTCATTCCTTAGTGGAGAAATAAGTCTTGTTGTAACTGCCCCATGTTGCCCCCATTCTCCCATACACTGTAAAAAATGCTGGATTTCACACAATCAATTTGTGTTAAAACATCTCGAAGAAAATAAGTTAACCTATTAGTTTTTACAAATTGATATTGATTTAACATAAAACTGTTAGGTTTCCCCCAAAAAAGCTTGAATTGTGTTGTTTCAGCTTATTTTAAATAAGTAGTGGAAGCGGCAAATGTAATTTTTTGAGTGTATATCCTTGAATCTTTATTGATCTGATTAAGTGTCTCTTTTTAATAGATTACTGAAGAATGCTTTCGCTGAGCTGGTGGCGTTTCAGAAAGCCCTGAAGGATCTCGTGGCTTCAATAGATGCCACTTATGCTAAGCAGTTTGAGGAGTTTCATGTTGGTTTCGAGGGGAGTTTTGGGAACAAACATGTGTCTCCTCGTACTCTGAGTGCTCGCTTTCTGGGAAACCTTGTGTGTGTGGAAGGCATCGTGACCAAGTGTGAGTAAGATTTACTTTACTTATTACTTATTAAAGCAATTGTTTCGTCCAAAACAGAAAATGTTGTTCTCTTTTACTCATCCTTCACTTGTTCCAAACTTGATTGACTATCTGATTTCAGATGAACACAAAATAATCCATCTAAAATTGTAAAATTTGTATCAAAAGGAAACCTTAATAAACTGTTTTAGATTTTTATCTTATATATTATCATTATTGCTATTTATGTATTTTACCTTGGACATTATTTATTGCTGTTGATGACTTTTAATTGTTAGAATATTTTTATAGTTATAAAAAATTGGTGCAAAAGGAATGGGATGCATTAGAAAACGATAAATTACATGAAATCCAACCTGAAATTTCACACAGAATTAAGACATTTTAACAATCGATTTGATCAAGTAGTTTTTACCAGATGTCGTATTGGGCATATGAGAATAACACATGATTTTTTGCTCCAAGGTGAAAACCCTACTCCGTGTTTGTCCTGCAAAACTCCTCTTAAAACACATTTTACTGGACTGTCCTGCTTTTACTGATTCCAGAAGACTTTTTTTATGAAATGAACTCTTTGAAGGACATTTTTAACAAAGTGAAACCAGAAAAGATTTTAGAATTTTTATCATGTATTAACACAAAAAAATCTTATTTAATTTGTTTTATTTTGTTTGTTGTTTTTTTAAATTGTATATTTATTGTTGAAAGATTCCTGCCATGAAAATAGCCTTGGTTGCCGACATGGCATTAAATAAAAAATACGTTACATTACATAAAAAATTGTTATTTATAAAACATGATAAATTGATCTATTCTATTTTTGCCATAGAAGCTGAAATAGCAATAAAATTAAAACTCTCTGAACACAAAATAAGATATTTCTTAGCTTTGACATCCTAATATTTATTTTTCCTAGTATGGAAGTCAATGGTTACATGCTTGCAGCTTCTTCTTTTTTTAAATATTGTTTTGAGCACAAAAGATGATAACAAACTCATAGGTTTGGAAGCACGTGAGGGTGAGAAATTGAGTAAATAATTTTTTTAGGTGAAACATTCCTGTAAGCGCTCAGATTTAACTGCTTATACTTGACGTTTGTCATTTCACATAGATAAAGTAATGTTCAGAATGTAACACGCTGATTTCTAAATTGTTTATCAGAGCTTTGAATATGCACGTTGCATGTTATATCTATATCAGATATAAATGTGCATGTTTATTCCACTTGGTTGTCTTCATTGTCTTTCCATCTGTAGGTTCTTTGGTGAGGCCTAAGATTATGCGCAGTGTCCACTATTGTCCAGCTACCAAGAAAACCTTGGAACGAAAGTATACAGATCTGACATCATTGGACGCTTTTCCTTCTAGTGCCATCTATCCGACCAAAGTGAGTTACTGTAAATGGCGTTAAATGTTAGAGCAAACGACTCCCATGCGAATGGTCGCCTGTTCGATACCAGCTTGGAGCGGGTTGGGTGGTTTAAGACCAGCGGGGTTACATATAGTAGTATGGTTTTTTTTATGTCTGTCTGTCTTTCTCTCTGTCAGTTGAGAATATGTTTAATGGTTACATTTGATAATTAAATGTAATATTTACAGGCACAAATATTAACATCTTTATTTGTTCTTTGTTTAAATATTTAAATGAATAAACTTCAAATTTTAAGAGTTTAAACCATAAATTGATATTTAAATAATTTATTTAAAATTGTTTAAAGTTAATACATACATACACTTGTTTAGTGAATATTTAAAATGATAATTTATTAAGCTTGTATTATGATGCCTATTTCAAGACACTTACTGAAATGTTTAAAGTTTTTACATTTAAGTTCATTTAAATTTGTTGAATACATAATGAAATAATTTAAATTAAGTTTAATAAAAGGAATATTTCAGTAAATAATAATATATTAATTATTAATTTTTCCATATACTTATGAAGAAACATAATGCATTTTGTAAATATTTACCTATATTTAAATTCAGTTCAAGTCAATTTCATTCAAAGCTAATTTTTTTTATTTAAATGTGAATAATAAATGTAATTACTAACTCCATTTTTTAAATAAGTAGATTGTTTTGTTGTTGTTTTTTTGTTTTATAGTCAAATAGTTTACATTTTAAATATGTGCGTTAAATATTTAGTTAAATTTTAATTTAATTATTTGTATCAAATAATCAAACGCCTTTAGTGGACTTTTTAAAAAACTTTTTTTTTTTTTTTTTTACTATTTTGTCTACATTCATGCACATCACATCAGCATCTGTTTTTCTTGTTACCTCAAACATGGATGATGGTCTCTCTGTACATCCTGTCAATGTTTTTACTGTACTTTACTGTACATAGGATGAAGAAAACAATCCTCTGGAGACAGAGTTTGGCCTTTGCTGCTATAAAGACCACCAGACACTGACCATTCAGGAGATGCCAGAGAAAGCCCCCGCTGGACAACTGCCACGCTCTGTCGACATCATCGCCAATGATGACCTCGTGGATCGGGTCAAGCCAGGTGACCGCGTGCAGATCGTAGGTGTTTACCGCTGCCTGCCCGCAAAACAGGGCGGTTTCACCTCAGGGACCTTCAGGTTTGTTTGTTCAGAGTCCTACAGTTATCAATATTGAATCCCCTCAGAATAACATCTTGACTCTCTGCAGAACAATCTTATTGGCTAACAATGTGAAGCTTATGAGTAAGGAGATCGTACCCACCTTCTCTGGTGATGATGTCGCCAAGATCAAGAAGTTTTGTAAAGCTCATTCGAAAGTAAGATGACTTTTAAAAGGGTCGTGGTGTGAAAAATCTATTTTCCTAGGTTTATTAAAAATTGCTGAAAAATGAATCTCGTTATAAACTTTCTTCAAGCTGTAAGAATGAATTTAGGAACACAATGGTATATGATGTCACAGTACGTTCATTTGCATACTGCCTCCAGCATACAGGCTCCACCCAATTCAGCCTAAGTAAAAGACCCGTGCATCAAAATCAGAGCTTTTCACAAAGATTGAACATGGATTTTCTGCATATACATGTCATTTATTGTTAAAAATAGCATTATTGAAACTAAATTAACAAGTATTAAAACAACTTGACAAACAAAACAAAAAAAAACTCATGCCATGACCCCTTTTACTGATCTGTTTCATTTTTTTTAAACAATTGACCAACTCTACCTTTAAAAAAAAATTCTTTCTTTCTTTCTTTCTTTCTTTCTTTCTTTCTTTCTTAAAAAAAAGCCTTTCAATTCCTTTTAATACTCAGTCCTGATGGGTGTCATCCTTGCTACGGTGTTTGTGCATTTCAGGATGTTTTCGAGCAGTTGAGTCGGTCTTTGGCCCCCAGCATTCATGGCCACGAGTACATAAAGAAGGCCATTCTCTGTCTGCTGCTAGGAGGCAATGAGACCAACCTGGAGAATGGGACGCGCATCAGAGGAGACATCAACATTCTGCTCATAGGTCTGCATATGGTTTAATTTTAGAGTATTTAAATCATTTAAAATATCCTTATTAGTTTTTATATGTTTGTAAATTTGTTCTGATTTATTTATAACCGTTTACTCATTTGAAATTAATCTAATTATTGTAAGACATAGAGAAGTTATCTCTGTGGTTATTTGTATAAAAATAATGAATTTGATGTACATCTAAACTTATAGATGTATTTCTATAAAATATTGTACAGAAATTATGTATTACTGTTCAAATTTCATTTATATTTGTAAATTGTACTTCTTTATAAATTAAACATTTATGAATAAAAATATTTAGTATTTTAGTTTTTAGCTATTTAAATATAAATTAGATTTTATATAATTAGAAATTTTAGTAGTTGCAAAGTGCACTAGTTTCGGTTTTGTATTTTTTTTAGGTGATCCTTCTGTCGCAAAGTCTCAGTTGCTGCGGTATGTTTTGTTCACGGCACCAAGAGCAATTCCCACCACTGGACGGGGCTCATCTGGGGTGGGTTTGACAGCGGCGGTCACGACTGATCAGGAGACGGGTAACTTAATTTTTAGTTGTTGTCATGTTCATCTTATTTTTTCTACCCTCAATTTCCTTCTGTAAAGGTATCAAATTAATTTCTTCTTTCACCTTTTTGAGCTTTTTTGTTTTTCAGTTTTTTTTTTAAACCCTCTGATTCCAGATTTTCAAATAAATGGTTCCTAATAAACCACAAATCAATGAAAAGCTTTTATTTATTTTGGCTTTCAGATTATGTATGAATCTCAATTTACAAAAACCAACAGTTATAACTGGTTTCTGGTCCAGGGACACATACTGTACTGTTAACTAACCCTTAAGCCCAACCTGCTCTGGTTATACTCATTTTTACAAGTCATACACTCTCAGAAATAAAGGTTACAAGATTATTTATTTATTTGTTTATTATTTTTGAGTCAAAATCCAATTCAATGGTCTATGCGAAGCTAAAAGGTCACCAGACTGACTGAATGAATTCAAAAATAATAAAGCTCAGCTGTTTAACTCTACACTCTCAAAAATAAAGGTACAAGAGCTGTCACTGGGAAAGTACCTTTACAAAAGGTACATATTTGTACATCAAAGGTACATTTTAGGTGCATTTGGGTACTGATATGTACCTCTGAGGTACCACTAAGGACGCTTTAAGTACAAATATGTAAAGCTACTTTCCCAGTGATAGCTCTTGTACCTTTATTTCTGAGAGTGTAGAGTTAAACAGCTGAGCTTTATTGTTTTTTTAAGTCATTCAGTCAGTCTGGCTTTCTTTTAGCCATTAAATTGGATTTTGACTCAAAGGATATATATATATATATATATATATATATATATATATATATATATATATATATATATATATATATATATATAAATATATATATATATAAATAAATAATCGACTTGCGTGTTGTAAAACCAACAGAAAATAAGAAGTTGCTATTTTCTAGGTCAATGTGGCTAAAAACTATACTCTCAATCCAGCATAATAATCAAGGAACTTTGATTCAATACCATGCCTGAAGCAAACACAATATTACATAGTGCTTGAAAATAGTCCACAGCTAACTAGGTAACAGCCCTGCATAATATTATTGTAAGTGCAGCAGCCACAATACACAATGTAACTCAAGAATAGAATAAGTAGAGTCAAGTGTATAATTGGAAAATTATCAAAACACTTTTTTTTATTATTTGAGTGAGATTCTAATGGTCTAATCTGATTCGATGATCTATGCTAAGCTAAAAATGCTCCTGCCAGACCTGGAGATCCGCTGAATGGATTTTTAAAAATTTTTTACAGGAGTTGTAAAATGAGCCTATTTCCAAAAAAGTGCAGTGTTTCTTTTTTAATTTAGCATGATGCAAGGAAGCGGAGAATGAATTTGTGCCTGTTCTCCTCTGGCTGTTGCAGGTGAGCGCCGTCTGGAGGCAGGAGCTATGGTGCTTGCTGACAGAGGTGTGGTTTGCATTGATGAGTTTGATAAGATGTCAGACATGGACCGAACCGCCATCCATGAAGTGATGGAGCAGGGCAGGGTCACCATTTCCAAAGCTGGGATTCAGGCAAGGCTGAACGCTCGCTGCAGTGTGTTAGCTGCTGCTAATCCAGTGTACGGAAGGGTAAATATTGACTGGTGGCTTGACTGGTATAAGTACTTTCTATTAAGAATTGAGAATTTAATATTCTGTTAATTCTAATGTGTTCAATTGGATTCATTTATCCAGTATGACCAGTATAAGACCCCCATGGAGAACATCGGGCTCCAGGATTCCTTGCTTTCCAGATTTGATCTGCTCTTCATAGTTCTGGATCAGATGGATCCTGACAGTGATAAGGAGATCTCGGAGCATGTGTTGCGTATGCATCGCTACAGAGCACCGGGAGAGGCAGAGGGAACAGGTGAGACTGACCTCTGCTGAACAAAATACAACCACCTCTAGAGATGGGTGGAGATAAGTGTTAGAAGTTTGTTGTTGTTGGCATGAGTTCAATTGCTTGTAAAGAACAATTATGGTGAAATTCCAAGCTGATAACTTTGATAGGTTTTTTCTCTCTCAGATTTTACACAATTTCAAGGTTTTTTTTTTTGCATTTCTGAATTTTTTTTTTTTTCTTGTAAGCTATTACTTTAATCGAGTTTGTATCTTGCAATTTTGTGTTAACATCTTATAAATACGGAATTTTCCTTTTTTTCTTTTTTTGAACTCCAGTTGTGTATACACCCCCCCCCCACCCCTCAGAATTGCAAGATACATTTATCACCATTTAAATTTTATTAGGTTTTTACAGTTCTGAGAAGTCATAATTATGGGGTGGAAAAACACTAATCAAAGGATTTTTTTTTTACTACTTTAAACAATTGTAGCGATCAACAGTATAGAATAAATGTAAAAACAAGGCCTTTTTATAATAAGAGGTTCATGGAAGACAAATGTTTAAGCATTAACTGCATTTTAGATGGACAATACTAATTATATTCATATGTCATGTGTGATGTTGAAAATGCTACACCATGCCAACAACCCCATTGAGCAGTATCACACGAGTAGCAGTGCAATGTGGCTGTATGGTGGGAGGCATGCGTTGGCTGCAGGCAGAGTGCCTTAGTGTCCCACCAGTGTTGATATACAGCCAAAACGCACTGCTAGTAGTGTGATATTGCGTTCATACAACAGTTTGACAGCACAATTGTGCATATAAAAAAGAAAATGAAACATGGAGAGTCTAAAAACCCTATTGTAAGAGGAACTACTTTCGCCAGTCATTCACATCTACAGCTGACGTCAGAACAGCAGGAACCATTGCTACTTCACAAACTTCACTTTAGAGCTAGTGTTTGAGTGATTCTCTAGCGTAATGTCTAATGCGATGACAAAACACGTGATTTTACTGACATTTTAAGATTATAAGGCATGAAATGTCATCAGTCTACTGAGATTTCCCAGTATTTTTTTGTTGCAATCAGGAGATCACAGTAATTAACTCCAAAAAAGCCAAAGCAAAGCGAACACTACCAGTTTACTGGTGTTTCTGCGTTAAGGAAAAACGCTAAACACATGCAACCTTTCTTCTTTCTTGCTTTTTACTTAACTAGTCTGCAGTAACGGAAACAAATGACCATTTCTGGTTTTAAGACTTTAAGATGAGTCCCATCTGACACTCAACACACTACAAGTACTATGGTATAAATACAGCACCACAACATACAAAAGAGAGAAATCGACTTGGACATTTACCAGTTTAATAATGATTTGATCTGCTGTCGTTTCAAATTACGCAGGGTAATTATTTCTTCTTTTTTTGATAAAAAATTAAAAATCGTATGCCAAACTGTTAAATGGTAGTATATCACTGTTACTGTACCACAAAAATAAAGCAATAAATAAATAAATAAATAAAATATATTCAGCATTGATAATAAATGTTTAAGCAAATCTTTAAACTTTTCCTATAAGGGCTTATTATGCGGTCTCTATTGCCATCTTGTGGATGGACAACATCAACTGTCTTTGGTCTACTCAATGACTGGCTAATGACCGCCGACACGTTGTCTCTCAGAAATTAGAAATATTTAAAATGGGCACTATCCTTATAAATAAACTGCATAGTTGCAATCTAAGCAACTACATTCTCGGCTAAACAAGCCTTAAAAGTACATTGTTGTCTAAAAGCTGCAATATTTGTCAAACTGCAGAGTGTCCTCTGCTTGTTGTATGTGGGCAGAGTAATACACAAGGATGAAGAGGCTGGACAAGTGCTGTTACTTGCAGAATATCACACGGCTATCAGCCAATCACATTCAAGATCCAGACAGAACTGTTTTATAAATATGCACATTAGTTATTGTACAAATTAACATCAATGTTAAAAATCACATTGAATTATTGTTGTTTGTTTGATTGTTTGTTAAAGTTGCATGATCCTCCAGCGGTTATTCAAATATGCTGTTGCTTATGATTTAAAGTTTTGCTTAAACATTTATTATCAATGCTGAATATATTTTATTTATTTATTTATTTATTGCTTTATTTTTGTGGTACAGTAACAGTGATATACTACCATTTAACAGTTTGGCATACGATTTTTAATTTTTTATCAAAAAAAGAAGAAATAATTACTTCTATTCATGAAGAATGCATTCATTGTTTAAAACTATTGTTAAATATGAATATTTCAAATATGTAGTGATCTTTTGGACCTTCCATTCATCAAAAAATCTTCCAAAAAATGTCAGTTTCCACAAAAAATATCAAGTAGCAATAGTTGCTTTCTACATTCAGAACTGAAAATTAATTCAACTTGACAATTAAGCAGGAGATAAGTGTGTATTACAACTGGTTTGTTATATTTAAGACCGGAGAAAGTATGTTACAAATTCCGCTTTGCAATCACAAAATGAAATGCTGTTTTAAAAAGTATTGTGTCTGCACAAACAGCAATGCCGCTGGGAAGTACAGTGGACGTGTTCGCCACAGAAGACCCAAACATCACAGAAGCATCTGAGCAGGAGTTGCAGATCTATGAGAAAAAAGACAATGTCCTGCATGGCCACAGGAAGAAAAGGTATGCTTCTCTTCATCTAGTTATAAATGGTCTTTGTTCCCTTAGAAAAAAAGTTGCGTAGCATGAGTGAGTTTCTGTGATAATCCTTTTGAAAAGGGAGAAGATTGTTACAATGGAGTTCATCAGGAAGTACATCCACGTGGCCAAGCTGGTGAAGCCAGTGTTGACTCAGGAGGCATCAGACTATATAGCGGAGGAATATTCTAGACTCCGGAGCCACGACCAAGTCAACAGTGATTCTGCAAGGGTCTGTAATGTCCACTTATGTATAACCTTTGGTTTATGCTTGACTTTTGGGGCACTTTTATGTTGTAAAATCGACTTTGTATAAAAGAGTAAGTCTTTACATCTACATATTGACACTTTTGGGTACTAGCATAGCAAATATGGACATTAGAGTAACATATACTGTAATTATTTTCAAAACAATTATTTTATAACATAAAATAATTATTGCAAATTTTACAGAAACATTACATGCAGTTTTAGATAATTTTTATGCGAACCCACTATTTATTATTTTTTTTTAAACAAATCTTTTAAAGATCATTTGCACCACTGCATCCACTATACCAGATTATCCCATTACTTAGTCACTACATATATGGCTCCTTTAATGTGATATTTTGGTTGCTCTGGAATTGCTTGATTTGCATTCAACTGTGTCCATTCTCACAGACAATGCCTGTGACCGCTCGAGCTCTGGAAACCATGATTCGATTGTCTACAGCCCATGCCAAAGCCCGCATGAGTAAAACCGTTGACCTGGCCGATGCAGAAGCTGCACTTGAACTCATGCAGTTTGCGTATTTCAAAAAGGTACATAATCATTCACATCTGCATCTGCTTATTTAGCTCTCTAATGTTAGGTGCTATGGCTTTGTAGATTCTGGAGAAGGTCAAGAAGAGAAAGGTACCAGAGGACTCGGAGATCGACGTCTCTCAGAGCCAAGAGACTGATAGTCAGAGGAGCCTCAGGTGAGAGTGAAGGTCATGTGGGTGTTTAAATGGCAGATAAGAACTAATAATGTCTACAGGAAGCGCTCTCGCATCTCCAAAGATGGTGATGATGTGGAAATGACACAAGATGGAGAGGATGAGGATCCTTATGATTTCACTGAAGATGAAAATAGTAGGTGAAATCATTCAGTTTGGCTCTTTGTTACCTATGCTTTCAGCAATATTGATTATTTTTGATTACTAAATGGAGGTCAAGGGCAATCACAGTTTCGCCTATACATTGAATTTTAACCCATATAACCATATTTCTAAAGCTTCTAAATCAGGGGTGGCCAACCCTGTTCCTGGAGATCTACCTTCCTGCAGATTTCAGTTGCTACCCATATCAAACACACCTGCCTGTAACTATCATGTGGTGTTTAGGTCCTAATTAATTGGTTCAGGTGTGTTTGATATGGGTAGCAACTGAAATCTGCAGGAAGGTGGATCTCCAGGAACAGGCTTGAGGACCCCTGCTCTATCAATATCATACAACATGGTAGACCAGTACTTATTGCACAATCTTATACCTCTTGTTGTCTGAATTCAAGTGCATGCCTTTTTTTTTAGCAAGTAAAAAGCCTTTTGATATTATATATTAAAGTTAGTGCTGGGCAAAGATTAATCGCATGCTAAATTAAAGTTTGTTTTGACAAAATAAAGCAGGGGAAATAAATATAGAACTTATCACCATTTTTTATTCGAAAACCTATTTTAAATGGTGCTGTTGACTTGACATTTTACCTGGATGTTGGTAACAACCAAAGAAACCCAAATATGCAAAGAAAACTAAACTAGTTGACTTTTGGCTAAGCCCCGCCCTCTGTATCGTTTCTATTCTAATTTGCTGTTATATGGAATTAATAAATAAATTGAAATGCAAATTAAAATACTAATAGCGGAAGTGAACATAGATTTTCCCTACCAGCAAATATTAGTCACACCAAATATAAAAGCAGACACTAACCCACTATAACATAGTCACCAATGACTAAATCTCCAAAAGACAGACGAAAACATCAGTGAATTGTAGCTCTGACATGGACATGAGGCTTATAAATTACTGAAAAACAGCTGCAGGTGAAGTATATTGATCAGTGTTCAGTTTGTGATCATATCTCTGTTTTGTTCTGTTGATATGTAATTTCAAATATTCATAGCTTTAAACAGATGGAAATATGATCGCTATTAGTATGACAACTATGGCAAAGGCTTAAACGGAGCAGTGCTCATAATATCAAGCGAAAACTAGAAAGACCCCTGCTGAAAAATCTAGCTTAATCCAGCCTAGGATGGTTGGCTGGTTTTAGCTGATCGACCAGCCTAGTTTTAGAGGGGTTTTGGCTTTGTCTCCAGCCATTTTCAGCCTGGTCTTAGCTGGTTAGGCTGGAAATTGACCAGTTAAAACCATTTAAAACCATCTTGACACTCCTGGTTTAAGCTGGACATAGCTGGTTTTGGCTGTGCTCCCAGCCTGGCTAGACTGGTCAAGCTGGTTTTAGCTGGTCATCTCCCAGCCTGACCAGCTAAAACCAGGCGGGAAATGGCTGAAAACCAGCCTGGAAGTGGCCAAAACCCCTCTAAAACCAGCCTGGTCGACCAGCTAAAACCAGCCAGCCATCCTAGGCTGGTTTAAGCTGGATTTTTTAGCAGGGACTGCTGTGAAACATAACCTGCTTTGTATTTTTGTAGGAACACAGTTTAGATCTGTTTAGGGTAATAGGTGTGCGAGTTGTTATTGCCGTGGGTCCATCATTGAATGTGTCAGGAATATCAAAACAAAACCAACTTAGCTCCACTCCTTTAGCGCCCCTCACAATGCTTGATCCACGCTGGCATTTCTCCTCTTGGGTTTTTGGATTTGAAAAGGAAAACAATTCCACCACCCCATCCAAACTTTTAGGATACCGGGTATCAGATATGCACAATCCATATGCACAACGCTTTGGCCCGTTTTCCTCGCTCGAAAGCTTGACAGAGCTTCTGCGCGTATCTACAGTTGCTAAGCCATGATTGGTGAGTGGCGGTTTTTGGGTGTGGCTTAGTGAAGGGTCAATTCCTATTAAAAATGTTATGTGTAATAAAATGAAATGTAGGGCAAACGTATTGAAAACATGAAGAAAGGGAGGTGTAGAAAGGGCAGGGAAAGCCCAGACAGCTGCTGAAAATCTCAGTAGTTCTTCAGCAACTATCTGCCTTTGTAAATTTAATGTCAGCTGCTTCAGTCCAACATCTACATCATCAGGATGATGAAGATGAAACCATTTCAGCAAGAAAATGATTCAAAACGCAGCCAAGCAAACTCGCAAATGCTTTCAGAAAAGGAAAATCAAGCTGTAGAATGGCCCAGCCAATCACCTGACTTGAATCCAATACAAAATAAAGATCAGATTTGATAGACGCTAATTAATTAATCACAATTAATCTTTGCCCATCTCTAGTTAAAATCAGTCTACATAATCTTTTGATGTCTTATTTGAATGTTTATATATTTTTATTAAGTAAAAAGGCTTTTTAAAATCATTTCATGTCATCAATCATGTTCGTTTATGCTGGGGAAACTTTTTAAATCAAATTTCCCTTCCTAGAATTTATAGTATTTTTTTCAAAAGTAATGATTACTGGAAAGCATTAACATAGGCGTACTGTGTTCCCTATGCATTTAGTATTAATTAAATCATGCTACAATCAAATAAATGGTAAATTATGCTCTTGAGGAATGTCCGTCAGTCATCACTGCATTAAATCATGTTGGTAAATGTTGTGACAGCTCAGCCGAGTCAGAAGAGTAGGCCGGCGTCTCAGAGGAGCAGTCAGAGGAAGAAAACAGACATCAGTCAGGAGAGGTACAAAAGACTCCTCTTTACTTTTACTCGCATTCTAGACTTTCTTTGTCCAATTGTAGTACCTCATTATTCCACCTTTGCACCACAACTGCTGTTTCCATCCAAAGCTGTGAATTAACTTGGTGCATAAAATTAAAAAATATCACATAAAACATTAAAAATTGCTGTTTCCATTTATAGTTCAGGAGAATAAAATCACTTCCTGGGGAAACAATCCATTTGTGATGTTCATTCATGTTCTTTTTGGCTTGGTCTCTTTAATAATTTGGGGTCGCCACAGCGCAATGAACCGCCAACTTATTTTGCATATGTGTTATGCAGCGGATGGAACCAAACTGTACATTTTTAATAAACAGACTTTTTGGAAATGTTCTGCTTGATCTACATCAGGGATGTCCAAACTCGGTCCTGAAGGGCCTTTGTCCTGCATAGCTTAGCTCAAACTTGCTTCACGACACTTGCCTGGAAGTTTCTAGTATGCCTAGAAAGAGCTTGATTAGCTGGTTCAGGTGTGCTTAACTGGCGTTGGAGCTAAAATATGTAGGACACCGGCCATCCAGGACCGAGTTTGGATACCCCTGATCTACATCTTTACCTAGCTGCAGTGGAGTTAATATAGTCTTGGTTGCCTGTTTTTAGTTATTTTTCTCCTTTTTTGTTTCTCTTTCACTATTCTATAGAGATTTTGTTCTCTTTTAATAAACAGTCTAACTACACATTTAAAATGGAGTAACTTTTGACCGATTTTAATGTGACCCTTTGGCTTTTGTGACTATTTTAGATTTAAGACCTTCAAGACTGCCCTGGTGAATGCCTTTAAGGTGACCCGCTCTCAATCTGTGGCAGTTTCTGATCTCCTGACTCACATAAACCAAGGCCAGGACGAGGAGTTTGACCAGAACGAGATTAACCTACTGCTGGAGTGTATGCAGGATGACAACCAGGTCATGGTCTCAGAGGATGTGGTGTTTCTCATCTAAAAAGGGCAATGCATTGTTTACAAGTTCAGAAATTTGGATCACTTGAATTATAACATGCCCGCACTGTTTTACAAATGATGAAGAAAAAAAAAACGCTAATAAACTGTGAGCATTAATAGTTGAGTTTATTTTGATCAAGTCATTTTTTTTACACATTTTGATTTTTGTACATATATTTTTTTATTTTTTTTAGGAGGGGATGGGGATATAAGTTTACAAAGATGAATTATGATCCTGTAGATCCAGCTCAGTGAAAGCATGACCAAGTAGATTTTAGAAGAACTTTACAAAAATGTGGCATCACAAGAGCCAGCTTCTTAGTCCGCTGTCCTTCCACTGGCATTTTGGGTTCTGTAAAAGAAAGTGTAGATTGATGGACATTAAATACAGTTATGGTACGGCTGGTGGAGATTAAAATTACTGAACAAGCTACAATTCCCTAAATCTCATAGTCACTGCTTGTTCATATTTGAATCATCCAAACAGGGGTCAGAACAGTTTAAGCATAATTCAGGGGATGCTTGTATTTTGAAGCACAATTTAAAAATAATATTGATCAAAAGCAGGGAACTTTATACCAGGGAAAATCCTTGTTTCTTGTGCTTTAAACATTGAAAGTCAGTTGAAGTCAGAATTATTAGCTCCTGTTTTTTTTTTCAACACATTTATAAACCTAATAGTTTTAATAACTCGTTTCTAATAACTGATTTATTTTATCTTTGCCATGATTTGACATTTTTCACAGACACTTCTAGACAGCTTAAAGTGACATTTAAAGTCTTAATTAGGTTAGCTAGGCAGGTTAGGGTAATTAGGCAAGTTATTGTATAACGATGGTTTGTTTTGTAGACTATCGAAACAAAAATTTGCTTAAAGGTGCTTATAAATTGAACCTTAAAATGTATTTTAAAAATTAACAACTGCTTTTATTCTAGCCGAAATAAAGCAAATAAAACTTTCTCCAGAAGAAAAATTATCAGACATACTGTGAAAATTTCCTTGCTTTGTTAAACATAATTTGGGAAATATTTAAAAAAAAAATAAAAATGAAAAAAGGGGTGAATAATTCTGACTTAAACTGCGTGTGTATGTGTATATATATTTTTTATCTGTGCTCTTTGAAATTAAATAAATTAAAATGAAAGCTCAATGAATGACACATTTTAGGATGAGATCTAAATTACATATAAGAGAGTGAACAAATGCCAAATTCCTCACAGAGACGAGACCTTTTATCAATATTTACATTTTAAACGAGTTGCTGAGGAATGGGATGCATTGGAAAATAACAAATTATATGAAATACAACCTGAAATCTCACACAGAATTTTAAGACATTTAAAGACTAGATTTAATCAATTGGTTTTACCAGATGTCGTATTGGACATACAAGAATAACCTATGTTTCTTTGCTCCAAGGTGAAAACCCTACTCAGTGTTTGTACAGCAAAATGCCCCTTACTATAAAACACATTTTACTGGACTGTCCTGCTATTAATGATTCCAGAAGCCTGTTTTATGAAATGACACCAGACAAGATTTTAGAATTTTATCATTTATTAATGCTAAAAATCTCATTTAATTTGTGTGTTCATTTGATTTTTGATTTTTAATTGTATATTTATTATTGAAATGTTCCTGCCATGAAAATAGCCTTGGTTGCTGACATGGCATTAAATAAAAAATACTTTACATTACATATAAGAGAGTAAATGTCACTAAGTCAATGTTGAAATGGGGCAAACAGGCATCAAAAGTTTTTCTTTTAATGCTACTGTATATAGAATGCTATAACAAAGCATCTGATATAACGTGATGAACTAAATATGTGTGTGCAAATATGTGACTTTCTGCAATTGTAAAATGCTGGAGAAGTTTAAAAATACTCCTAAAAAGTGCTTGAATACTTAAGCGATTTGGTTATTTTGTAAAACACTAGCAAGTATAGCCACAACTAAAATTCTTTCAAATTTTGAATGCTGAAGATGACGTTATTTCTGAAAAATCAGGTGTTTATAAATTGTTCTGTAATTTTCATGTCCACTGCAGTAGTGTAGTCCTAAAAAAAAGGTGTACTATACCAACCCAATCCAAATTTGAAAAGTAGACCGTTACAGGAGACGCGAATAAAAATAAATTAGAGAAGTCTAATCACCAAAACAAGGGAGTATACCGAGGGTATACGCAATTATTGATCCTCAGAAGTAGCAATACCTAAACAGCTCGTGGAAAAAAAGTAGGCATACTCAGTATACAAAGCAAGGACTACACCACTGGTCCACTGTATATTTAGTAATGCTACAGTTATCTGGATCTGAATTGTATAGAGCAGGGGTGCCCAAACTCGGCCCTGGAGGGCTGGTGTCCTGCAAAGTTTAGTTCCGACCCCTATCAGACACACCTGGGCTAGCTAATCAAGCTCTCACTAGGCTTTCTAGAAACATCCTTGCAGGTGTGTTGAGGCAAGTTGGAGCTAAAATCTGCAGGACACCGGGCCTCCAGGGCCGAGTATGGACACCCTTGGTATAGAGCACAGGTGTCAAACTTAGTTCCAAAAGGGCCGCAGCTCTGCACAGTTTAGTTCCAACCCTAATTAAACACACCTGATTGAACTAAATGAGTC